GCTTCCATTGTTTCTCGTCCAATCCGTAGTTAAAATAGTCCGACATGTCTGCTCCAGGGTTTCGCCACAACTTCATCCACAGGTGATCAATGTTTACATCAAAGATTGTCCTGTCAATAGTGTAAAGGATAAACGGTGTATGAATTGGATCAAATAATCGGAATGTGTTGCTTGTGGTGAATAATCTTGTACCTTTCTCGACTTGTTTCGTTTTCTTTAAAGAGAACATCAGAACAATTGTGAAAAAAATAGGCAAAATCAGAATAGGTGCTTGATACAACACATTTAGCATGGAGCTTACTTGTATGGAGGAAGTCTAAATCTTGATTTGGCAACTAATCCTTGTACAGGAAAGCTTTCAGCAACTGTAGGGGCTGAATAGCTTGTAGCATGCACACGCCAGTTATCTCCCGGCCATGTAGATACAAGGAAGTTACACTGCCACAAATGAGGTAACACTATTTAACTTACTCTCATGAACAAGAAAAGTTTGCACTTTGCAGTTGACAACTCATAATGGGTGCACAAGAAGTATGTGTCGATTTGCATATATACAATGAGACGGGACCTTGGGCAAATAGGCTTTCGCTTGGTGTGATTGCCAGTTCGAAACAGAGAAACTGGTCGAACTATTCTGACTCAAACGACGATCTCTGGTCCCTTCATGAGATGCCTTGGCCTCTTTATTAACTTTATTCAAAGAAGCTAAATCAATGCCATCAACACAGCATCCAAGCACCCTGTCGTAGAATGTGTCGGCAACCAATTGTGTGATAACATCCGCATCCTTGTCCACCTCATAACTATCGGTTTTCTTCGAAACATCCTCGACGGTTTGTGAATCTTGCAATGAAAGTTCGTCTCTTTGAATGTCATGATACGAGGAGTTAGAGTATCGTTGTTCGTGTAGGGTGAACGGGTTTTCGTTAACAAGTTTACGTCCCGAATTCGTGTAAATGGGTTCGTTCCAATTTTCAAGAATCTCTGCGCATAACTCACGAAGTCCTTCATCATCGTCGTTTATTTCCCCTGGTTCCATTTTTTTTTTTCAATTTTTTTTTTTTTCTTGCAGATAGAGAGAGAAAAGAGAAGCCCAAATTGCAGTACAGATTGAAGGACATTCATGCACAATTTGCTTCAATCTTGTGCTCATGGTAATTGCAAGAGATGAGGCTAGGATTTGATTGTACTAGAAAATTCATATTATCATAGCAAATATTACATATATTTTCTCCAACCTTCTGTATAGAAATGTTTTTTTTTACTTCAACATCTTAAGTTCATTTAAAATCCAAGAAATTAAAATGAGTTTGTATGAAACACAACACACACATTCTTGTTCTGTAATAGAACATTCCATCATTTATTCCTGCCTTCATAAAAAAATTGAATTGAATAATTTAAATACAAGGAATACAATAATTACTTCTATGGTAGTGAAAACTAGATTAGGCACATGCGTGAGCATGAAGGCCGGGACAAAGTCACGTTGTCCGATCCATAAACATAAAATTATTTTTTTTTTTTATTGTTGTATTATTCTTTTCTGGTTAATTGTTTGTACCCAACTGTCGTGTAGGTCCAATTTGTTTTTTTGTTGACCAAATATGACAAATTAAGTAATAAAATACAAAACTTTAAGCCCAAGGGGGTGCCGGCGCCGGTGTCGTAGCCGCCTTCTCCTCCTCTGCGTGTAGGTCTCGCCGACGCTGTGTCTTGTGTTGCGGGTTACTTTCTTGCCGGCGGGGAGGATGGGGCGGTTAACGCGGGTTCAGTCAATTGCGCTGGCCGAGAAGTTGTCGATGTAGGTGTTGGAGTTGTCGCCCATTTTTCGTTTCTTATGTCATTTGATAGTTAGAATGTCCTAGTAATAAGTTAGTTACCAGTTGTACTCTTTTTCAGTTTAATAATTTAATAACATTTGTCGTTTGAGAAACAAAAAAAAAAAGTAATAAAAGATAGGTAAATCCAATTTCAATGTTTCACACATTCTTTAGATAGATTTAGAGGAATTTCTGAAGTCTTTTATTTCCAAATTTTCACCTATTTTCTGCCATTTAAAATGATGACGAGTGCTCGAGCTCCTAATACTCAAGCTTAAATCGAGTCGAGCCCAATTAACTAAGTATATTTTCGATAAATTTAGCTGAAAAGATAGTTGATAAATGAATTTCGATCATATAGTTGATAGCTTATGATTTATAACTGTAAAGGTAGCTGATATTATTGTGTTTGATAAAATTAGTTGATAAGTGTTGAAATAAAAATTTAGCAAATTTATTTGTAAAGCTACCTAATGAAACTTATGAGATAAAACTCCACATTTTTTAAAATTTTGTCCTACCAAACCAAATATATTTCAATACATAAATTTTATAAGCTAACTAAATAAGTTATAAACCAACTTAATATATTTAGTATTTTCATAAAATCATATATATATATATATATATATATATTTATATGATTTTGTTTTTAGTTACTATGAGATAGGTAAATTCTAAAAATCGAATAGAATTCATATATGACATAATATTTATTGTAAATTTTGTTCATATATTAATAAACCAATTACATTAAAAAATAAATATACATTAAATATTTATTATTACTAGATAAAACTACTACTTTTTAAGTGTTATAAATAATAATATTACATAACAATAAATTTTAGAATATAATAATACTACAATTTGAGTATAACAATATAATTAGAGTGCTTTAGTTAATTAAAAATAATAAGTCATCCATATTAAAAAAAAAAAGTAAATGAAAATAAAATAAAGTCAATGTCTCCCCAACTTCAAGTCATGATCGGCCGCTCACCGGTGATTGGTTCCTACACCACACAATCAATTTCCTGGAAACTTGCCGTAATGAATTCACATCATACATTCATTCTCCATCATAAATCTCAAATTGGTTAAATTTAAATATTTGTGTACAAAAAATACATATTATTGTATATAAAAAATTCTATTCGAGCTTCTGGTATGGCATCGGCAGGGGGTCTCGTGAGGGATGATGATGGTCGATGGCTTGGAGGATTTATTATGAACGTTGGTTTCACCACGATCACTGGGGCGGAGCT